CTTACTTACAATAATCGATTAAATTTTACAATAATCGATTATTCTAGAGAAGTTTTGCTTCTCTTATTTCTAACCTTTTAAACCATTCCTAATCTATTTCAACTCTTAAACTTACTCTTATATGTATCATATATCAGTGTTTTATACATACATCAACCAACTTTCAATCAAGCAATCAAACTCAACTACACATTCACAATCAATTCAAACAAGACTCATTAATAATTTCTAGTTCAATTTAATCGATTATTTAGTGTAGAAAGGGTTTTTCAAAGGATTTTACTAATACAAATAATCGATTATTTGCGCGACCCTTGGTTTTCCAGATGGTTTTTGAACGGTTTTATTCGCGCCAACCTCCAACTTCCCACTTCTCTCATAAGTGGAACCTCTCCTCTACCCCAATCTGGTGCTAGGGCTTTTAAAACACCTAAACCTTCTTATTTTTCTCACACAAACCGTAACACACTTTCTTCTTCATCTTCTTCATCTCCAACAAAGAACCCACCTTTAACCTCAAAATGGCCTCATCTTCCAAGAGATCAAAGAAGCTTGAAGTTAGGGGGAGCAAAAGACCTTTGCCCACAGGAGCTGAGCAACTCATGTCCAAGTGGTTTGCTGATGAGAAGACCCAAGATTACTATTTTGAATGGTATGCGGGTAGGAGAAAAGCCTCGATGATCATCTCAACTGAGGGGGGCCCGATCTCGATATCAACATCGACGACCATGAAGTGCTCAACCAATCGTGCAAACATGGCTCCAACCACTATATAGTCGCTACAGGAAGGTATGCTAGCTCGCTCACCGTAGTCATAGATGTGCTGAAGGAAGAAGGTCCCTAGGTTGTAGTAAACATCATGGGCCATGTAGTAGAGAGGGAAGAGGTCCCTTTGAGTGATAGAGCCTAGGCTGATAATGTTTGTCGATAGTGCCCGTTATGAGCTTGTGGACCACCCAAAGTTTTGGGTCCCTAAGCCTCAATGCCTTGGCTATCCTCGACATGATTGCTTCTCTGATGAGATCCTACGACATGGAATCGATGGGGGTGTCGGTGATAGGCATGAGGAGGCTATCCATGTACACCTCCATTGATAGCTACTCTTCTAATATGTAACCGACCACCCGGTTAAACTTGTCCAATGTGAGGGTGTGGAGAATCCCACCCATCCAGAATAACATCATCAGGACCTCCAGTCCAACTGGAGCAGTGGTAGTGTGCTACCTAGCTAATGCCAAGGACTCTATCGTGGCATCCTTGTAGGCACGCCTCAGCGGCTTTAGAAGGAAGTCTCATCCTATGGTAGCCAATAAATCCAGGACTATACTTGTCGGAACCCAAAAAATTCTAATCTTGCCCACAAATGGTTTAGACTAATGGTTTTGAAAAGAATTCATGGAGTCATCATCGATGTTTTGCTCAAAACATCGAAAAAAGAAAAGAAGAATTTTAAAATACCAAAATAGCCTTTACAACCAGAATCTGGTTCGGGGGTCAATTACATGTACAAAAGATATTAGGCACCCTATAACGCCCTGAATCAGTATCCTATAATGAAACTAGAGTGATTGTAAACAATAATTTAAATATTAGGTTCCCTTTTATTAATAATTATTTATATATTTACATAATTTTCCTTAAAACGTCTACATGATTGCTTTCGTTTATAACAGAAAGGATAGATAGTAAAGAAAGATACCTCTTAAAATGAGCTTTTATAGATTCTTCCAATATAGTAAATTTGAGGTGTTTTTTTCACTGCCTTTCACACTTCAAAATACCTCACAAATCTCAAGAAATACAACAGAAAAAAAGAGAGAAACGCATAGATTTTAAGGGAACTTTTTAGAGACTCAATTTTTGAAAACTCTGTTTTATATCTCACCACAAATTACATTATCCCTTCATTGCTTGAGGCAAAGCATAAGAATAGCCTAATAAGCTCAAGGTAATACGGTTCTTCTAACTCCAAGAACTTCCCAAGTTCCTGGTGCTCCAAGAGAGGAGGAAAGCTAAAACCCTCATTCTTGAACCATTCTAGCTTCAAGGTTTTCGGAGGGATGATTCTCCTACCCGCATACCATTCAAAATAGTAATCTTGGGTCTTCTCATCAGCAAATCACTTAGAGATGAGTTGCTCAGCTCCTGTGGGCAGAGGTCTTTTGATCCCCCTGACTTCAATCTTCTTTGGCCTCTTGGAAGATGATGCCATTTTGAGGTTAAAGGTGAGTTCTTTGTTGGAGATTAAGAAGATGAAGAAGAAAGTGTGTTAGGGTTTGAGAGTTGAGAGAATGTAGGTATTTGGAAAATAAGAAGGTTTAGGTGTTTTAAAAGCCCTAGCACCAGATTGGGGTAGAGGAGAGGTTCCACTTATGAGAGAAGTGGGAAGTTGGAGGTTGGCGCGAATAAAACCGTTCAAAAACCATCTGGAAAACCAAGGGTCGCGCAAATAATCGATTATTTGTATTAGTAAAATCCTTTGAAAAACCCTTTCTACACTAAATAATCGATTATTTTTGGAATAATCGATTATTCTAGAGGGTCATTTCCTCTCACTTGCCCAGATAATCGATTATTACCCAAATAATCGATTATTCCAGTGACTCTTTGTATTCTTGCTACCTAGATAATCGATTATTGCCCAAATAATCGATTATTCCAAAGACTTATAGACTTCCTCTTCTCCCAGATAATCGATTTTCTTCCAAATAATCGATTATTCTCCTAGGCTTACTTACAATAATCGATTAAATTTTACAATAATCGATTATTCTAGAGAAGTTTTGCTTCTCTTATTTCTAACCTTTTAAACCATTCCTAATCTATTTCAACTCTTAAACTTACTCTTATATGTATCATATATCAGTGTTTTATACATACATCAACCAACTTTCAATCAAGCAATCAAACTCAACTACACATTCACAATCAATTCAAACAAGGGACCAGAACGGCCCGTTCTGGATTCAGAACGGCCTGTTCTGGGGGAAGAATGGCCCGTTCCAAAATCGGAACGTCCGTTCCGGGGTAACCAGAACGGCCCATTCTGAAATCGGAACGGCCCGTTCCGGGGGGACTAGAACGGCCGTTCTGAATTCGGAACGGCCCGTTCCGGGCCCCTAAAATTCCCTAATTTTCCTTTTGGGTCCCTGACATCCTATATTGTTGTTTTGTACCTCCCGGACGAAATTGGGTGTCTACAATACTTAGTATAAGTTATACCAATGTTATTATAACCCTTCTCATTTTAAAATATATAAATTATTACTTAAACTTTTAAATTTATAATAAATAATTTAAATTGTATCATAAAATTAATTTTAAATAGAAATAAGTAGATTGTTAATTATAAAAGTAAGTATATATATAAATAAAGATTAATTAAATATAATATAATTATTATTATTAGTAATATAATTATTATATATA